TGTGTGTGTGTGTGTGTGTGTGTACATATATATATATATATGATGGTTACCAAACGGGAAGGGGAAGGAGGAGAGGTACTGAAGAGTAAAGGGGGTCAAATATATGGTGACAGAATGAAATTTGGCTTTGGGTGGTAAACACACAATGCAGTGTACAGATGGTGTAGTATAGAAATGTACACTTGAAACCTATATAATTTCATTAACTAATGTCACCCCAGTAAATTTTATTAAAAAATAAAACGACATGTTAGATATAAACCCAAATATATCAGTAATTACATTGCATGTAAGTGGACTAAATACAATTTGGATTCTACTTTAAGAAAAAAATCGGGCCCGGCCGGGCGTGGCTCAGCGGTTGAGCATTGACCTAGGATCCAGGCTATCGGGGTTCAATTCCTGGTCAGGGCATATGCTCATGTTCTGGGCTGCAGCAGATCAGTGACTCTCATCATTGATGTTTCTATCTACCTCTCTCCCTCTCCTTTTCTCTCTCTGAAATCAATAAAGATATATTTAAAAAAAAAAAAAAAAATCAGTTACTATTTATATATTAACTAGTATAGTGCCTGGCATACAGCAAGTATTTAATTAGTGTGAATTACCTTTCCACCTCAAATATTTGTTAAATAAATTTAATATTTATACATATTTAAATATATTTAATATTTATGCATACATTTCTTCTATTCATAAGAGTTTAGAAATAGTTTTTAAGAATACATGAAATGAAATACTAAAATAATAAAATTGTGGCTCGAGGAAAGCAAAAATATTATGTTGACCATTATAGCCTACATAATTCTGACAGAAAGCTTTCAAGTCTTAACTCTGAAGCTTTCTGTCCATCAAGAAAAAATGGACATTTTCCCATTACATAATTCTCATTGTCAAGAAAGGAACAATTATATGAGTTATGACAACCTAGTTGTTTTTATTACAGGTATCTAAAAGAAATTTTACTTAGAACTAGTAGACAGTGACCTCAACTTTGTCTAGTATAACAATTATATTACTGAATTTCATATAGTTTTTTTCTGTAGTGACTATCAGAAAATCATTTTGAAAATGAAAAATGGTTTAGAATCCTCAGATTCAGCTCTAGCTGTACAATACATTTTGGATTATAGCTCTTTTTAACATAGCAGCCCCTAGTTGCTGAAGTTTTACCTTGTTTTCTACATGTTTAAAATTATTTTTCCCCATCTGCCTATTTTATTATTTGCTAACATATTCCTTTAATTTCCATTCGATTACTATTAAGTGCTAAGCTCCAAGAGAGTAGGAATCATTATCTTATTTTGGTTATTGTGCCCTTCTCAGTATCATTAGAATGTTATTTTATATATATGTTTTATTTTATATAACATAGCACTCAATAACAATAAATGTTTTCTAATGAATGAATTAGTTAAAATTTTCAAAATAATATATTCTCTTCTAAGAACTACCTCTGTTACTTTGGTGAGTAGGAATGATCTATTCAGTTATTGATTCAATATGCCAGTCTTTTAATTCTCATCTGTTTTACTTTTCTAGTTGCTCTTTATTTGCTTCTGAATCTTGCTGAGGATACACGCACAGAGCTGAAGATGAGGAACAAGAACATCGTTCACATGCTGGTGAAGGCTCTTGATCGGGACAATTTTGAGCTGCTTATTCTAGTTGTGTCATTCTTGAAAAAACTCAGCATTTTTATGGAGAATAAAAATGATATGGTAACTTACATTGAAACAGTCCATATTTACCATTTTCAAGTTAGAATATTTTGATAAAAAGTAAACACATTATCCCCCTACTGAGATAATTCTGAATGAAAGTTTAACAATAGCAGTAACTCCCTTAAATGGCTTTACTGGAAATATATTTCATGTTACTGTACTTTATACTCCAGATAATTGAAGCTTATAGAAAAAGATAAGTCTTTTTCTAATACTGTATGAGAATGAATGTTTTTATGTTAAACATAACACATAGAAAGTAATTTAAACTTAAGATTGTGCTTCAGAGTCATCTGCCCTTATATTGTTTTTCCCTGAAGTATTTTTTTCTCCTGCATTTCTGATATTTGTGTATGGAATTTCAGTTTAGCCCAGTCTTTTCTTTCTCACCTACTGTTTCAACTGGGAGGCACAAGCTGCCAATTCTGCTCTTAGTATCCCTTCTTTCTATTCCACGTGTCATTGTGCCAGTTCATGCCCTCTTTCTTTATACCCTCTTCATTTCTTGTTTGAATTATCGCAGCGGTCTTTGAGACATACAAGTTAATTGTGTATTATTTCACCTTCTGAAAAATATGTATAATGCAGAAATATATAAAGATAGAATAAAAATTACCTGCCTTTGCCATGTTGTTAAAAAGTCTTTGTTAGAACAATGTTTTATTAAATAGATCAGACATTAGCCTTACCTTGTTTTCAAATATCTAAATTGTTTATAATTTTAGCTATTATAAATAACACTTCAGTGGACACATTTGTACATGTATCTTTGCCTATATTTCTCATTATTTTCTTAGGATATATTCCTGGAAATGAAATTATTGGCTCATTGGCCTGACCTCCACTGAGGACCATTTTAGAGCTATATGCTAATATAAGTCATTATGTCACTATGTATTATTAGTATAAATGGATTCTCCTTTACATAGTCTAAATATACAGTATTTCTTCCTATTCTTTTTTCTTCTTTTAAAATCAAGTGAACTAGGAAGTAGCTTATGCTTATCGAATGATACAGTATGCTCTTTGAAGACCTAAGACTGATTTATCAGCTTTAATAAGTGCCTTCAATCTGATACTTGAAATATGAAATTTTATTTTACCCACAGGTGTTTAATATCTGTCAACTTTATCATTAGTATATAATTATTGATGGTCACTGTATGTCTGATATTGTTTTAAGATTGAACTTACTTAAGAGAGATTAATGAAAAATATTTTTTAAAATTGACTGATCTTATATTTAAGAGGAATATGATGGCATGGGGATATATATACTGCTGAGGAATTAGAGTGTGGTAAATAGTTGCTTCCCCTTGTTTTAAGTTGAAGTATAGTCTTCCATTTACATGTTTAGATTAAGGTCACCTTTAGTAGTAGGTTCACAAAATTTAAATTGATTTGTCATCAGCATGTCTATTATATGTTGATTAAATTTATATTTAATACACATATGTTTATTCTATCAAAACTTATTTCAAGAATATTATTAAAATTATTTTCTGGTAAGATCAGAGATTCAGAATATAAAATGTCTCATCAAACCTCATTTTTTATTAAGGAGGAAAAATGAAGTTCAGGAAAGTTAATCCATGCATAAGAATGATTAGCCAGATTTTTACTATAGATGGTATGCATTTCACCTTTTATTGTAGAATAAATGCATTTTATTTAAGGATATTATATAGCATCAGGATTTTTAGAGCTTGACTGGACTTTACCTCCATGTTTAGATTTAGTGAATTACCTCCTAATTTTGCAGATGAAATAGCAGAGGATCAGAGAGGTTAAGTAATTTGCTCAAAGATCTCCAGGTTATGCTTCCTATTCTTTCTCTTTGCCTTCAAGAAAAATTTTTTGTCTTTATGTTGTTGTTGTTTTAAAAATAAAAAAAAACTTTTAGCAAGCTTAAGTATAAGCAACTTTTAAATAGCTGCCAGAAACACGAAAAAGAATTACTTAAAGGCTGAAATAAATTTACTCAAAGATTGTTCATAAGCTGACCTTTTACATAGAAAGTTTAATAAAAGAATTAACTATACATTCCATTTTATAGATATACAATTGAGAGGGAATTACTTGTTGAAACAATTACTAAATTTAGCCTTTTGTATTGAGCTTTTATAAACCTGAAAGACATGATTAGAAGGCTGTGTCTAGTGCTTAACTTAACTGGTTGGACTACCTGGCAATTTTACATTCCATTCTCTGCAGTGGAAATACAAATTAATTTTTTTAAAAAACTCTCCAGGTTACTTTATTATAAAGTTTTCTATAACACCAGTATGTACTGTTGCTTTTTCAAAAGAAAAATATTACTTATTATAATTAGTAACAGGTGAAGCCTGTGGCAATTTTATTTAAAAGGAGTGGTGGGGAGAGATGGCTGATCTATTTGTGAGGTTGTATTATTTATTTAAATAATGTGTTCATTTTAGTGTTGATGTGAACTAATATTGACCTTTTTAGAGTTATATTTTTAAAGGAAATTTAGTTTACTTTAAAAATCCTTTAATTAATAATTTAAATTGAATTTTTGTATTTTAATACAGTATAACAAAAAGACATTAGAATATGATTTTAAGAGTAACAAAGAGGATGTATATTCTTTGGGTTAATTTCTTATTAAATTTTGAGAGTTTTTTTTTATATTTTGAATATGTCTTTTATCAGTTATATGTTTTGCAGATATTTTCTCCTAGTTTCTGTGGCTTGTCTTTTCATTCTTCTATGAAGAGCAGAAGGTTTTAGTTTTTATAAAGTCCAGTATATCAAATAACTTTTAATGGGTTGTATTTTGATGTTGTATTTAAGAAATCTTTGCCTAACTTAATAATAAAGATATCTTCCTACATTCTCTTCAAGAAGTTTTATAGGGTTTATGTTGTTGCTCTTTTGTTTTATTAGTCTGTGATCCTTCTGTTCTTAGTTAATTTTATATATGGTCCTAGGTATGCATTAAGATTCATGTTTTGAAACGGATACTCATTTGTTCCAGCACCATTTGTTGAAAAGACTATTCTTTCTCCACTGAATTACACCATAATGAAATTGCCTTTGTACCTTTGTTGGAAATCAATTGGCTATATATGTGTGGTTCTATTTTTGGACTCCCTCTCTCTTCTGTCCCATTGATCCATGTGTCTGTGCTTTCACCAATACTTCTTTGTCTTGATTACTATAGCTTTATAGTAAGTTTTGAAATCAGGTAGTATATGGCCTCAAATGTTATTCTTTTTTAAAATTATTCTGGCTATTTAAGATTCTTTACTTTTCCATATCCATTTATAATCAACCAGTCTGTTTCTTTAAAAAGTATCCTGGAATCTTGATTGGGCTTGCATTGATTCTATTGACAGTATTCAATATATTAACCATATTGGATTTTCAAATCCATGAACATGGTATAGCTCTCCATTTGTTTAGGTCTTTCTTGATTTCTTCCATGATTTCAAGTTTTTAACATATATATTTTGCACATATTTTTTTAGACTTATACCTAAATATTTTACCATTAATAATTGTAGTTTTTATAAAAGAAATTAGTTTCCTGTTGATTTTTTATTGCAGTATAATTAATATATAATATCTTACATTTTTGTGTACATCATAGAAATTCAGTATTTATATACATTACAAAATGATCACTACAGTGTTTAGTTACCATCTGTTGTGATTGATAGTATATAGAAATACAGTTGATTTTTATATATTGACCTTGTGTCCAATGACCTTGCTAAATTCACTTTTTAGTTGCAGTGGCTCTTTGTAGGTCTTGGGGATTTTCTAAGTAGAAAATTATATTATCTGTAAATGGAAAGTATTATTTGTTCATTCTAATTTGCATGCCTTTTTTTTCCCCATTGTACTAGAGAGGGGCTCTTTAGTATGATGTTAAAAAGGAATTCTGTGTGTGGGCTTTCCTGCCTTGTTACTGATCTTAGGAGGAAAGCAGTGTCTTCTACTATTAAGAAAATGTTACCTAGGTCTTTTGTAGATACTCTGTCAGTTTAAGTTCTGTTCTTTTCTAGTTTGTTGAGACTTTTTATTATGAATGAATGTTGGATTTTGTCAAATGTCTTTTCTGCATTGATTGAGATGATCATACGGTTTTTCTTCTTGAGACTATTTATATAAGGAATCCTTGAAGGCCAAGACAGGATCTTGTTTGCTCTAGCACTAGGCTGGCACTTAGGTGGTATTCCTTGTGTTTTCAAGAACCCGGTATAATTTGTATTCCAGTTGATGCTGTTAGGTAAAGGAAGGAAGAGATGATGTGGCAATGTATATTTTCACCTCAAAAGTTTGCTTTCAAAGAAGTTTATGAATTAAAATGACTATATAGATTAATACATAATTACTTAGGGTACAATGGAAAAATAATTATTTATAATCTTTTTTGTCTTATTGTGCAACAGAACCTCACTGTATTTGTATTATTATTTTACATAGGTGGAAATGGATATTGTTGAAAAACTGGTAAAAATGGTACCTTGCGAACATGAAGATCTGCTGAATATCACCCTCCGACTTTTACTGAACCTGTCCTTTGACACAGGACTGAGGAATAAGATGGTACAAGTTGGACTGCTGCCCAAACTCACCGCACTCCTAGGTATGCTTTTTAAAAATGATTGGCAGTGCTCTCAGACTTTCCAGCATCCCTGGAAAATTGAGTGGTGTGTTGAAAAGTTGGTCGAACAAAAATGATTCTGTCCTTTGAGAACTTAAAAATAATCAGAATGAATGAAAAATTACAATGTGCCAGGATTCCCCTGATGCTGTAGAATACACTGGAATAGAAACTGTTAACTCAGATTTCATTTAGCCATGTGAGATGAAACCAATGTGCAACTACATATTACTACCAGGGAAGCAAGAGGGAAAATTATTTTCTCTTCCGCATTTTTTTAAAAACAGCAAATATTTCTTATATGTTGCCATACTTTTAAAATACTCCTAACAACTACACAAATTTGGTGCGCCTTTTTGTCATTAAGTAGAAAAGGGCATTTTTATATAGTGTGAGTTAGAAAATATTGTATTGGAGGATTCAGTTTATAATACAGTATTTTCTTTTAGCTATTAGCAGGATATCTACATAGCAAGGATGGATGCAAGTGCTAACTTTTCTGTGCTCTCACATAATGCTTCTTAGCAGAGTACTATACACCCTTGATCTTGATCTGTTCGGTGTCTTCCTTATAGGCACCTGCTACTCCCCAATACATGGTTTATACTGTGTCCTTGCTGAGCCCCCCACAGTTCCCTAAACAAGCTCTTTTTATGTCTGTTTATCTGCTTTTCCCTTCTACCAGAAATGCCATTGCCATTATTAACCAGAGAGCAAATTCTCACTTTTAAGACTCTGTTCCTTTGTTTCAGTATTGCATTTTCTTTCTTGTTTTGTAGCGTTCTCCATAGAGTCAAACATTTTGTAATAGTTTTCAGTAGTAGTGGGACAGTAGTGCAATGATTTAAAAGTAATTTTATCCTTTGCTATCTAATCCAGTCTCTCATTGACATCATTATTTTCTTTATAATACTAGTATTAACATTGAACATTTACTGTGCCAGTCATTTAGCTCTGTGCTTTAATTACATTATCTTGTGGAATCCCCATCTGAGATCTGTACTCAGGATGACATAGCTGATAAAAAGCAGAGCTCAAATTCCAACTCAGGGCTATCTGCTGCCAAAGTTGGATTTATTAACTACTATAGGAAACTACTGTGTACAGTGATATTAAGTGGGCTATGATTAAGTAGACTAGGCAGAGCTATAATTCAAAAATCCAGTTCTCCAAATCCCCTTAAAAATAAGTTTTAACTTATTTCTTACTCTTTTCTCAGAATAGGAAAACTTTTAGTCTATTAGTCCAAGAACGTTTAGTGAATTGGCCAGTCCACAAATACTGCACAGGACTTTTACTACACATTTTAGAAGAAACGCTGTTGAGTAGTACTTTCAAAAATTGCTTTTGGGAACCAAAGCAATACAAGCATTAGTGAAGAACAGAAAACTTTAAAAGTAAGATTGGTGGGCCTTGCATTTTATAACGTGACTCTCCATTTATTGTAATCCAGCAGAATTATGTATCAAATATTAGGTCAGATTCTGGTGTATGAAGATGAATAAATTATAGTCCTTGTCCTGAAGGAATTCATAGTCTATTTGGTTTTTTTCAATATCCAGTCACCTACTCTTATGAAACATGATTTTAAAGAGATTTGGGGGAAATTACAGGATACTCATTTCATATTTTGCTAACAAATATCCCTGTCTTTTGTTGCTCACAAGTTATTGAATTTTAAGCGGTTTGTTGTTTTTTCAAATGTTCATATATCTTTTGCTTAATAATTTTCTTTAGTTCTTCCTTTTCATTCCACTTACAAGCCACGGAAGCAATTTCAGTCATTCATAGTAAACAGATAGAGTATCTACTGATCTTCCAGGGTCAAGGAAAGGGAGAAAGTGTCCATATTGAAGAGAAATCAATACACACTGGAGAAAAAAAAACAGTGCCTTCAACTTCTGTGAAGTGCTTCAGAATGTCTACAAGTTTATATCTATTACTTAGTTCACATTCTTTTAATTTAATTATTTTCATGGCACTGTTATTTTCACCTTTTTTTATTTAAATTATGGGTTTTCATAAGTTTCTGTAGGCTCCTTATAAGGTGAGCCTATGAAAAAAAGCATATGCCAAATTCCAAGTAACTGATTCAACATGAACTTTTGTAACATAAAATCATGTTGTTAACTTTATTTTGTTATGTCCCCAAAATGGCCCTTTTATCCATCACTATCCAGGAAAAGCCTATCTAATAATGTATTAGGAGGATAAGCCTATAATTATTAATAAACAACCCTAAGACCTCAGTAGCTTAAAAAACAATTGTTTATTTCTTGTTCATATTGCATGTCCATTATGGGTGAGTGGAAAGTGCTGATCCATGTTAGCATCAGTCAAGGACACAGACTGGTAGAGCAGAAAAATGGGAAATTGCAAACTTCTCTTAAAGTCTTCCACTTTAAGTGATAAATATTATTTTATTTACATTTTCATTGATGAAAACAACTCACGTGGCTGTGCCATACATTAAGGAGGTGGGTAAATGCTTGGAAGGATTAGAACTGGCACATTGATGAGCAAGCAGCCTAATGATCCTGAATTGTTTTTTCAATTTTTCTGAATTTTAACTGGGTTTTCAGGATTAACTAGACTCTCTTAAAAAGTACACCCTGAGACATTATAGCAAATACAACCATATGTACTATATCTAGCAGCTGTAGTAGCACAGAGCACACTGATTAAAAGCTAGAATTATGGAGCCAGACTTTATGACTTGAATATTGTCTTCATCAGTTACTAGCTATATGATATTGTGCAAATGACTTAACCCATATGTCAGTTTTCTCATCTCCAGTATATAAATAATAATTGTACATATTAATAGGGAAGGATTAAATGAGATAATGCAGTAAATGTTAGGGAGTTATACATATGTGAAATTATTATAAAAATACACAGAATACAAACAATCAATAGCCAGAAATGGGTCTTTTTAAAGTTTTCCAGGCTTACACCATTAGAGATATTTAATCATTTTGTATGCAGGTCTTTTAAAATTGGTTTCATCCTTCCTTTGTTAAATATATTCTTAAATTTCCCTTAATGACATGAACATAATTTAAATTTTTATTGAGAAGCAGTATCGTGTAGTAGTTAAAACCACAGGCTTTGGAGCCAGAGAGCCTGGGCTCAAGTGCTCTGTATTAGCTATTTGGTTTTGTTATCATTGATTCAGGTTTGTAATTCTGGAGATAATTTATTATACAAGGCTGCAAATATTACTGTGCCCAAGTATTTCCCCTTGCTGAACAGCCCCTGAGTGCCATGTATTTTAATTTTTATATGCAGTTTTCCTGTTTCCCCTCTTGTCCTTGGCTGTCACTTTTCATTTCTTCTGCACCAGCAGCAATTCCATAGCAGCAATTTTCCTCTCCTCTAATAATATAGTTCTAATCTCTTGTGGTCTTGGAAACCGACAGCTGAATTTATTTGAAGTGTGTATTTTGTTAAAAATGAATTCCAAATGAATGCCCAAAGGGTTCTCTTCCTAGTAATGTTCTCTTCCTAGTAATGTTTATTGCATGAGTTTTGCAATGTTTCTTTTGACTGTGAAGAAACCTATTGTTGCTTGATTGTGCTCTCTGCTATGTTCAAAGAAATGTTATTCAGTGTATAAATGATTTCCTGATAAGCAATTATTGGAATGGTCATTTTTACATTTGTTAATGTAAATGTTACTTGTGTGGAAAATTAAATAATTAACTCCTAACACAATAAACTAAACTTCTCGATTGAGTAATGAGATGTTTAATATCTCTGATCTTTGGCCATTATGATTATATAGAAGTTGTAGCACAGAAGCATTATAGAGAAACAGATTTTAAAGGGATAGGAAATAATTCATCTAAAGCAGAGACTTTCAAACATCTTTTACCCCAGTCTATAGTAATACACATTTTACATTACAACCCAGTTCTCACACGTATATGTGATGTGTGATGTGTATGTCCATATGTGCATATTAATATACATGATACTTTATGGATATATATTATACATTTAGTTTAATATGTATAATTTTTAAAGTCTTCACAAAGAAGTATTTACCGTATCTATGTATAATGCACTATATATATATTTTTTTAATTCTACTTATGACTTCCTCATTGATTTTATGTTCTCCAATTGATTTTGATATTCATTTGAAAAACATTGAACTAAGAGAGTGATTAGACTTCTTTCCTTTCACATCTTCAGAACTATCACTGTCTCTCCTGGACTTTTAATGTGTTGATCAGTTGATAGCCTAAATTGTTCTAGGCTATTCTTTGGCAAATACTTGGAGTGATTACGTGGGAATAAAATTTTTTCTGAAATGGAAAAAACCCTCTATAAATCAAATAGTTAAAGAATTTGGACTGCACTCTCTTCACTGTAGTCACAGAGAAGGAATTAAAGAGCATGCAGTAGAATATGAATGGTCAGTTTGCTTTTTTCATTAGAAATAAATTCATTGTTTAATATATGTTCACATTGACAGATGACTGTTTGAATTAAAGAATTACCCATTTTATATATAGAAATTACTTATTTTTAAAAGATGCAGAAAATGCAGAAGTACTGTTGTAGGGCTATACATGTGGTAGAACTTTTCAGAAATGATTTTTAAGGGATGCTGTTTCAACTGGAAATACTATCACATTTTAAGTAGGTTTTTTATTGTTATTTGGGGACCCCATAACTGAAAAATCTTTTTATACTTAATAATAGATTACTTTAACTAGAGTACAATGAATCATGAATCTTTCAGGTTCCAATAAAACTGTGCAATGTGAACATTTAATCCCCTTCTCTTGTATCCTGAAACATTTAACTAGTACATTGCGACCCCTGCTGTTGTGAGAATTGCTGAATAACTGAAAAAATATATATATATATAATGGAGGGAGGTTCTGTGATCTGAGTAATTATTACAGGCAGAGGAGAATGTGTTACAGTTCAGCCCTTTTGCCAGGTGAGGCTCTGAGTGAACTGTAACT